ACCACACTTTCAAGCGTCCCTGACGTCCGTCGATGCGGACGACTCGAATGCAAATGAGCATCGATTCGCCATGTGACGTCTAACGCGCCCTTCTCACCCCTTTTCTTTTCCTACTACCCGCTTGATTTACAATCCCGGATACGCATACCCCATTCGATATGTATGGAGGTAAATTACTAGCGTATTTTTAACTGTCACAATGACACGTTTATATAGGGCGCCGCCTTTACTTTCCAAAGGCTTTGAATATTCATACGACATTAGCAATCAATAACAACTACAATAGCACAGTTTTCGCGTGCACGCACGCAATATGTCGTATAAACAAATAATTTTTCCGCTTTTTATTACACTGGTGCGTTATAAAAATAAAGGTACTACGATAAAAAGCAGAGGTGTGCTCGCCGGATGAAACAACGATTTAACATCTACACTGAAAACAAATCCGAATGAACCGACACAAACACATTTCTATCATTAGAACTAAAAAACTGTAGGTATACAGTGTACTCTTCTTTCTTTTAAGCACCGGTCCGATAAGCAAAACTTCCGTGACCGGACGGCATTAATTGAGTGCGTTTTTTGCTTCGAATATCCATCAAAAATGCACGTTGTAATGGCCACTATAAAGACTGATACTATCGCTTCACACTTTACAGTTTGAAGATAAGAAAAGCAAAAGAAAAATCGATAAAAGGTACGCCATTCGAACGCCGCCATGTCGCGGTGGACGTATTTACAAAATGGCGCGCGTCAGTAACGTTGTAGAAGCAACAAGCTTAGTTTTTGACAATATTCCGAGGCACGTTTCGGTAATTGTCCTCGTGCCGTACACGGAATAACAAAATGTCTGTCAGAAGATCAAAGGCAGTAATAGACGTGTGTAGAAATTTATTGACGGTTTGTATATCGAAGAGTGAATTTGAAATAAACTAATTGGATATCAGCGTCGGAGGCTACACGCTGCGGACACGACCGAAATTTTAATCTGCGATCAGAAGTTATTGACATAACTGTTTATTTTAAAACACGATGACCCCTACATAACTGAGTACGTCCTTTTAAGGATCCGTGGAAATCGGTTGAGATAGAAAAAGATCCGCCAGAATCGCAGCTCTCCCATTACGAATATACACTACCCATATTGAAGAAAGGCTAAAAATTTTATTTTGCCATGTGCAGATACTTATTTCAATCAAACTTTATGATTATAATTTGTAAAATATATAAAACACATGTTGTATAGTGACGAATGGCGACGGAACGTTCAAAGAACGTCAGGTTTTTAATGTTATATAAATAAAATTATTCAAACGTAGCTTGATTGATAGTTGTATTCAACTTGATTATTATACAGACGGCGTACTACGAAACACTAAGAGAGGTTAGTCATCTCGAAATTCGTTTATTAATTGCTTCAAGCAGACAAATTGCATGACAACGTCTTTAGGAGATTGTCTACAAAATTTTAAGAACATTTCCAGTATCTCGAGAAAAAGTATTCGCTCCACCAAATATATCAGATATATGATACTCACAAGTGAAATGGTCAATTCTCACTTGATATATTAGAACTATTAAAAACCGAATGCCCAATTAGGTGTACATTAAGATGTGAAACTTGGCAATTATAAAACCAAATCACGTATATAGAGTTATTGTCTACATTTATGACTCGAGACCCGTGAACATTATGGTCATGTAGCGATGTAATCAGGGGACCGTGACGGCCATTTTTATAAATTTATTTGGATCACGTTCTTAGTCATAAGTCGTTAAGTCTGTGAATGGTGATTTCACAAAAAAAGGCTGGTATACAAAAATATAGCGTATGGAAGGACAAGACCGTGTTGTTTGCATACCTAACGATTATCAATGTGGAACGTGAGAAAAAATCTATTAAAAACCTCAATCTCCATACTTTGGTTAAATAATGTCGACATACGAGATAAGTATTGGCTTGTCAATTTCAAAATGGTAGCATTACTTAAATCCTTTGGTAATTCTGTAAAACTATTCGTTTGAATTTTTTCTAATATGGTTTATAACTTCGTAACAGAGTAAATCTATCTACAAAAACTTCGTAACATAGGCCATTGGTAGTTGCCAAACTAGACAAATAAAACACAACGTGTATTGAAAGTACGAACGGCCCTAGTGGAAAATCGTACATATTACGTAGTGGTTACGATTAATGGATATACTCTGGTAAAATTGGAACTCGACAAATATGCGTGAAGTTACATTTTATACATACTTATATTACGTTAAGATCGATCAACACTATATTAACAAATCCATAATGATTTCTTATGGTTCTGCAAATACTCTTAATCTAACAATTTTACCGTTTTTTTTTTAATAAAACTCCCTAAAAGTCGGGAATAAAAAAAAACAAAAATCAAAATTAAATGCTATAGAAACCGTAAAAATAGTTTTATTCAATGAACTAATCGACCCATTATTTTTGGTAACTATAATATGCATTTTTCTTAATTAGTATAATCAACTCAAAAATCTAAGAAATATATGTTTGCTAGAACCAATGATATCACTAAATATTTATAATAAAGTATGTCTGTTTATTCACTAAAAACTTTAAAGCTACTTTAAGGATACCGATGCAATTTTCACCTACATATAAAAATTTCTTGGCACGTGAATATGATTGTAAAGATAATCAAAAAATCATGTCGTTGTGAGATCAAGTCGGAGGAAATCGTTAGTTTTATATGATCCAAATACTCTGTTCTATTAAAACTGCATTAAAGTTATGTATATTTTGATCGTCAGTAAGATAATCATGATTTTGAAAAAACAATGTTCACTTGCATCTTTACATCTGTACGGTGCTAAACACTAAAGTCGTTGCGAGATTATTACGCGGTCGCAACAGTAAATATTTTCACGCGACAGTGACAGGATGCGTGCGGTCTCGGCACCGCATAAAAGACAAGCGTATTGTTCTGTTTTAATACCTCTTATTAACAAAGAGCTCTTTACTGACTAAATCCAAATTGACGGTTTTATTTTTCAATAAATAAAACTCACTTTACGTTCAAATAAAAGCGCAAACACGACGCAAATAACAACACTGCATTATGCATTTTAACAACTAATGAAGACGTATTTTCCTTGATGTGTCTCCGATTTAAAAATGCTAAGAAAAACATTCAAGGTGTAATCAAGGAGCATATTGTCGGTTTTAAAATTAAATTTAAGAATGCAATTAAGTCTTTGTGATCACTGAAAATTAAAACGGTGCATCTCACTGACACGCCGAATTCCCGCCGTAAAGCGACCACAGAGTAAATATTGTTTTCCTTAAAACGCGCGAAAGTGTGCTGACGTTTTTGTTGTGTCATTTGTTCTTTGAAAAAGACTATCGATGTAAATGATGCTATGCTGCGGTTGACGGTGAACAATCGTCGCATTTCAAACACATATGTTCACGATGACAGAAACCAGTCTCATCCAGGAATCAATCTCACTTCGTGCTTATTTTTAGAAGGAATTTTTTTTTAATTTTTACCAACGTACGACTATTCTTAGGAATGCTCTTTATATTTAAGGGTACTTAAAATTTATATTTAGATACAGAATAAAGAGAAAGCACAAGCATAAATATTTGACTTGATCCATTGAGTTATATGTGTACGTAGTACATATAACTGAATGACTTGACCATATTTATTTACAGACCACTAAACTTCGCTTCAAGGCAAGTATTTAAATCTTGTAAAGAACACATTAAGTACAATTTGTCACCATTAAATTCAAAAGCATGTAAAATTAATTACAATTCTTAATTAGAATAATGTAACACATCTATCAGAACCTAAACAGTGACATTTCATTGTGAAACCAGAGACAGTATGTTGACAGAATGAATGACCACAATATGGCGTATGAGATTCGCGCGTAACTCCATTTGTTTATAGCCGTTCACGCCGTTTTAGGATCACCAGCTTAGGCGCCGAGTGTTCGGCCTCATTCAGTGATTATCTCGAATGCGTCGCACTGTTGCTTTAATGACCTCGCTAATTTCAATTGTACCAAATATAACTTCTGTATTTATCACTTGGCAAGAGTCTTAGCGGTTGATGCGGTGGCGCCACCAACTATGTACCGATGCGCGACACAATTTAATCGCAATTAAAATCGCTTTTGCGACATGAATTTCTATTACCAAATACTACGAACTGAAATTATCGACTTGAGATTCTATTTAATTAACTGTCGAAATGCATCTTCAGTGAACATATTCTATAATTTTGGTTTCCCTCTTTCTTAAAACACATTTTTTAGGGTTCCGTACCTCAAAGAAAAGAAACGGAACCCTTACAGGATCACTTTGATGTCCGTCTGTCTGTCTGTCAAGACCCTTTTTCTCAGGAATGCGTGGGGGTATCAAGCTGAAATTCATATCAAATACTCAAGTCTACTGTCCCTTGGAGCTGTGAAAAAATCAAACTTCTAAGCCAACGCAATCAAAAGATACAGCCGTTTATGCCGCAAATTTTCGACATTCACAAGAGAATCAAAACCTACAGGATACTTCTCGTGGACTCAGAATCTTAAAATTTGGTACGAAGTAACGTATTATAGCACAAATAAAGGAAAAATATATTTTTTATAATTTTAAACTTATATACCTACGAATTTGTTCGGAACCCTAGGTGCGCGAGTCCGACACGCACTTGCCCGGTTTTTTATTTATCAGTAACGTGTTACTTTAGGACTTGATCGAAAATTATTTATTCTCTGTTGAATCATTTCACTTCCATTTTATCTTCAATCTATTTTCTACTTCTTCTTTAACAGGCCTTAAAAGTCAACTGCTGAACACGGGCCTCTCCAGTTGCAGGGAAGATTTGCTTTAATTGGAATTATTGGCATGAGGATTGACAGACACAGTACCAAACGTTTCGCACCTCTGGCCCTTTTTTCTGACTGTTATCTTCATTTAATCATATTTTTTTATATTTTATTGTTTTCAGTGGGAACAAAAGATGGCACGCTCGGACCGAACTTCGGAAGACCGGAGGGAGAAGGTGATGATCGTCTTGCCCACATCCTTAACGAGGCTTCACACATGATGAAAACACCCACTGGCCAAGTCAACAACGACGACTCCCGAAGCAACGAAGACTCTTGCTCGCCACGCACTCAATGCCCCTCTCCATTTTCTAATAAGGTACTTGATTCTAATGACCTCATTTGATTAAAAAAACAAATCAGTAGATAAGAATATTCACAGCAGTAGACCAAGACCAACCAATCTTTAACTGACAACCATTTTTTTTAAATCATTTTATATTAAAATTTTCCTATTGATTTCAGGATTCGAGTCAAAACAGACGATTAAAGAAATACGAAAACGATGACATTCCCCAGGAGAAGGTGGTCCGCATCTATCAGGAGGAGCTCGCCAAAATCATGACGAGGCGGGTGGAAGACATGCGGCATACTCGCGAAGGCTTCCCTGGGTAAGTGTCTCATCTGCTTCAAACCCTATCATGGCGGCCACAGTACCACTGATCTGTCTCACCGATTTGACGCTACTCGTTGTCGCCCGTCTGGGTACTTTAGATTTTGCTTACACATACCTAGCATCTTAAGCCATGAAATCTTTCTAATGGTAATGAATGAGGTGATGAATTTCCTCACGCCACCTCTTTCTAACAAACAGAAAAAAAATTGGGTAGTTGACAAAACCATTAATAAATAACTACACTATACCTATAATTTTAATTTTCTTACTTGCTACATAAGGCTTCGACGTTCCGTATTAAGGTCAATTAGATTTTTAGTATTTAAAAATATACAGGGTTATTTTGCAATAAACGGCTAAATTTGCAGAGAAGGTTCAGAATAAGTAATATAGGCAAATGGTGAATGAAAAATAATTGAAAAGAATCTCAAACATTTTGTTATTTTTATCTTTTAAATTTAAAATGCCTGAATATGCATTTTTTTAACTGATATTAGTGCGCACGCGCACATTCGTAAGGGTCGATCGGTTGGAAAAAACGTTGTTGCCCATAAATCACATTCAATTTGGGATAACTTCAAATAAAAGTAGAAGCCTTATTTACCTATTTTCAAAAACTGCAATAACGATATATCATTATTTATATATTTGAACTTAAGTTTAAAATTTGGCTACTCTATGAAAAATAACCCTGAATAATTTAGATGGTTGTTTGACTATGAAAACTGATACACTATATTGGCATTAAATTTCTATCTATAATAACTAAATATTTGTCAACTACTAGTGTCAAATACCCAATTGAACGTAATTACACGAAAAGGATTCTACTCATATTCGGGTCGAAAATTAGTTTATGACATAATAAAACTTTCATACAATAAAAAAAAATAAAAAAAATTAACGTCGGTGACAAAATTCTAAACAAGTTGAAGCCAGCCATTATCAATGATTACCGACGCAAAGTTAAATCGTTAATGCATATCTCAAAATTAACTTTTTGTAGGTTGTAGCCTTTTTGCGTATACGTTCTATTATTATAACATTATCAGTAATGCTGTTATTCAGTTTCAAAATTCGCATTAAAAAAAAAACAAATTGTCTTGTCATATCTTGATAGAGAGCAGCAAATCTTAAACTGACGTGAAGCATGTTTCCACCATTTTTCAGCGGCGGCATGCCCCCGCACATGGAGAGGCCACCGGAAGACATCAGAATAGCGCTGGAAGCGTACCATAGGGAGCTTGCCAAAATGCAGCCGGGAGCAAACATGCCCAACATCCACAACCTACCTGGCATGCCTCCCTTTCCAAATCTCCTCGCTCTGCAGCAACAAGCGATGCAGGCGAACCAGCATATGAACGGTTCAGGGGCCGTCCAGGACCTTTCACTACCCAAAGACAAGAACACCAAATTAAATGGAATGACTGATAGTGATAAGGATAAACCTATGGACGCAGAAGAGGCGATACGGCACGCGGGCAGTGCGTTCTCCCTCGTAAGGCCGAAGTTAGAACCGGGGCAGCAATCTACTGGTTCTTCGGCGTCCAGTCCTTTAGGAAACGCCATACTACCGCCGGCGATAACGCCGAACGACGATTTCAGCAGTTCAGCGGCCGCCAGTCCTCTACAAAGAATGGCGTCGATCACAAATAGCCTTATTTCTCAACCAACAAATCCTCCACATCATCCACCGCCGCAAAGATCAATGAAAGCGGTGCTGCCACCAATCACACAGCAACAGTTTGATCTCTTTAACAATTTAAACACGGAAGAAATCGTGCGGAGGGTGAAGGAAGCTTTAAGTCAATACTCCATCAGCCAAAGACTCTTCGGCGAATCAGTATTAGGCCTGTCCCAGGGGTCAGTCAGTGATTTGCTAGCGAGACCGAAGCCATGGCACATGCTGACGCAGAAAGGCAGGGAGCCGTTCATTCGAATGAAAATGTTCCTGGAGGATGACAACGCGGTCCACAAACTGGTCGCGTCGCAGTATAAAATTGCACCAGAGAAGCTGATGAGGACTGGAAACTACAGCGGAGCACCTCGTAAGTTAATTATGTAGTATATTTTTAAAATGGTAGTTTTTCTGTACAGACTGGAATAAATTTAATTAAAATCATAAAATCTTATAATTCTGTTAAAATATTTTTATTATCTAACTAATGCCGAATATTACGTATTTTTTTAATTTTATAAAATTACAATAATTTTTTAAAATTATATTTATTATGTGGTAACACATAATATTAAGTGGCAATACTATTTCGTTCTTTACTTTTAATTCGAATAGTTTTTTCCACTGTCTGCCAAATGATTAAATACTCTTTGCTGTCTACTACAGACCAAAGACAATAAATATTATTATGTTAAGTTTATTGAAACAAAATCGATCGCATTTCACTGAACAAAGTTAAAGTTACATTTTATTAATTCCAGCATGTCCGCCAAACATGAACAAGCCGATGCCGCCGACGCCGAAGATGATCTCGGACGCGACGTCGCTGCTTAGCAAAATGCAGCAGGAGCAGCTGCTGAGTGGGGGTCACGGCGGTCACGGGGGTCACGTTGGGCACGGCGGGCACGCGGGGCACGCGGGGCACCTGGGACACCTGGCGGGCGCGCCGCTGCTGCTGACGCCGCCCGGCTTCCCGCCGCACCACGCCGTGGCGCTGCCGCCGCAGCACCACGACAAGGAGCGCAAGCCGCCGCCCGCCATGCGCCCCGTGCACCAGCACATCTCCCCCAGCGTCTACGAGATGGCCGCGCTCACGCAGGACCTCGACACGCAGACCATCACCACGAAAATAAAGGAGGCGCTGCTCGCGAACAACATCGGTCAGAAAATCTTCGGTGAGGCGGTGCTCGGCCTGTCGCAGGGCTCGGTCAGCGAGCTCCTGTCGAAGCCGAAGCCCTGGCACATGCTCAGCATCAAGGGTCGCGAGCCATTCATCAGGATGCAGCTGTGGCTGAGCGACGCGCATAACATCGATCGCCTCCAGGCGCTCAAGAACGAGAGGCGCGAAGCGAACAAGAGACGGAGATCGAGCGGTCCTGGACAAGACAACTCCTCCGACACGTCATCTAACGACACCTCGGAGTTCTACCACTCGAGCTCACCGGGGCCGACTTCTGGAGTCCCGTCGGCCAAAAAGCAGCGCGTGCTCTTCTCCGAGGAACAGAAGGAAGCACTGAGATTAGCGTTTGCGCTCGATCCATATCCGAATATGCCCACGATAGAGTTTCTGGCGGCGGAGCTGGGACTCTCGACAAGAACCATAACCAACTGGTTCCACAATCACCGTATGCGGTTAAAGCAGCAAGCCCCTCACGGTCTCCCGGCGGAACCACCAGCGAGAGAACAGTCTTCCGCGCCGTTCGACCCGGTTCAGTTCCGGTTGCTCCTCAACCAGAGGCTGCTGGAGCTACAGAAGGAAAGAATGGGACTCGCTGGGGTACCGCTCCCGTATCCCCCGTACTTCGCGGCCAATTCCAATTTCGCCGCTTTGATCGGTAGAGGCCTCTTACCTCCGGAGGAACCGGCGAAAGATACGTCCAGTGGCCTCGATCTCTCCATGCCCTTGAAGAGGGAGCCGGACGGGGACGACTTCGAAGATGACGATGTGGAAAGCAACCTCGGGTCCGAGGACTCCCTGGATGAGGAATCGAAGACTGAGCCGAAAGCGGCATCGACTCCCGCCGGGAGGTCGAACAGGAGAAAACCGGCGGCGCCACAGTGGGTCAACCCAGACTGGCAGGACGAGAAACCTCGAAACCCCGATGAGGTGATCATAAATGGAGTCTGTGTGATGAGGAGTGACGACTTCAGGAGGGAGGCGGAGGAAACCGTGAGGGTGGAACCTTCCCCGGTGCCGCGAGAAACGTCGCCCGCCGCCTCCCCCCCGCAGGCTTCCCCCCACACGACACACTCCCCGGAAGTGTTGTCTGAGGACAAAATCAAAACGGAAAACGAAGACGACCGGTGGGAGTATTAGACTGTAGTCAATGTGATAGTGAACTTGCCCAGTGTCTTAGCGGTTAAAACGGGTCCGTGAGTGTAGTTTAGCGGCGGTACTGATCTAGTATATATCCATATCACGTCCGGACGGTTATTTATTTGTTGGCCGAGTGCGTCCATGGGACGGCCGCGTTCAGTGCAAATACTAATTGTAGTTGAAAACTTTAAGTTGTAATTCGATTGTAAGGCCAAAGACTTTGTAAATACCCTGTTAGCTTCTCGTGATATGCCAGGCATACGTCCCACTCGGACGAGAAAAACTTGCGATACAAAAATGTGCATTTTGCTTTAATTTTTTTTTTTATACACACAAACCGTACCCTGATTCGGTACAAATATCTGAGGTTAAGTTACGGCTTATTTTTAATTCGATTATTGTAAATAATTATACCAAATATGTTCGAATGTTGCCTGAGAGCCACGACTCTGTATATATGTAGGTAGATTAGTATCACTTTGTATCGTGTAAGGAGATCGTTGCCGATAATTAGGTTCATTTATTTGTTAAATAAATTTTAAAGTGCAATCAGATGTAAATTTAAGCTGTGGTCTAAACTGAACCCCAGTTGAAAAGTATTATTATGTTTATATGAACCGGTGAGGTTTAAAATATTATAATTGGGTTATATAAGTTTACATTTAAATTATGGATGTTTATTTTATACTATATTGTATGTTTTTCTATACCTTATTTTATATGTACACGGGACCGCTCAAGTTTGTGATCATTGACAGCTAGCTGTCAAATTTAATTTCCATAGACTATCTGTTATCATTTTTAATGCAGCCTTTTCTTAACTGTCCTTAGTGTTATAAAGACAACAAACTATTGATTTTATAGATTTTTAGAAAATGTACAAATCTAGAAGAAAGAATGCTACAATTAAGCAAATAATGTATTGCTTGTGGTTATAGTTTCATTTTATTTTAGCAATAAATTTGCTTTTAATCTAATTTCTGTTTTTCTGTTGTTTTATTTTTGTTTCTTTACCTTTTATCCTTATTTTTCTTAGTGTTAATTATTTTTAAATGTATATTAAAATTAAAGAGGAACCATACTCCTTGCATCATGTTGTGTATATAAATAGAAATTCAGGTATTCGTGTACATAAAATGCCACTTCTAGGTAGAAAAATAGGAACTAGACAAATAGGACACTGGAAAAATTAATTATTAAAAGGTTTATTCGTGAATAATCGAAATTTATTATGATTCTTGAATTTATCGAATGAAGTGTATTAATGCTGTTGTTAATATAACGGATATTTCGATACAAAGTGAAGACGGTTTGAATTCTTCCAAATTCATAATTAGACAACGGTCAAAACTTAAAGATGTTCAGTTTTAGGTCTACCGAACACAATACATATCGATGTTATATATAAAGTATAAAGGAGTAAGATGTAGCTTAAGAATTAGTAATAATAGTCAATACTACAAGACCTTAGTGCTGTTTAACAGTTTTTAAATAAACGTCAAGTGAAGGAAGTTTTGAGTTTATTAATTATCTATTGCTTTGTATATGTTCATTCGTCATCGAGCTTTTGCTTTTTGAGAGTATTTATATGAATATCATATTATTGTTGTTATTAAATGGTTGCCGCGAATAGTTTTGGAGAGTCCTTAAAACTGTTAATTATATTTTACCGTTTCATATTATACAAAAGCACCAGAACAACTTACTACGACGCTTAAGATTTAAACATATGCATTATAAATTGTTATAATTAGGTTCTTTATAATACGTAATATTACAATCGCAATGCTAAAGAACCTGACCATTGACTCGTAATTACGAATACCAACCTCATTAATTTGAATAGAACCAGCCTATATAGTATCACGTTGTTGGCATTTTGGGAGTGCGCTCATATTAAAGGTAAAAAAACTAAAAAATACTAAATAAGTTATTATAAATAAAAAACACACGAGTATAAAAGGGAAATGGTAGGTACTTTTAAGCTAGGTAATTTTCCAAACTATATTTCAACAGACGTTGATTTACAGTGCAATGCAATTGTAACAAAAATAGGATAGGACCAAAATGTATTCTGTGAATAGGACTAGTCTTCCGCCATTTTATGATGTTATAGCCGCCAAACTAAAATATTACATTGGAGTATCATTGAGTACCTACCTACTAAAGAAATGCAACAAAATAATTAAAAAATTAATCCTGGCAAAGAATGGTTATTCATTATCTGTGCACAAGTACTCTGGGTAAAATAAACACATAAAGCAGAGGTTAGTGCTTATTTTAGCGAAATTTAACTTAATGATCAAGAAACGAATCTAGGATGGATTTATTTGGAAGAAATATTTGCAATTTATGCAAAAGAATGTTCATTCTGTCTACAATTATATAAAGTAATGATGGTTATTATAATATATATATAAGTAATTACTTCGTTTTACAAAAAAAAAAACAATATTTATTTTTTGTAGCCATTTTGTAGCAGTGACATAATTTTACAATCACACATTTTTGCACGCTCTAATCAACAATTTATAGTTAAATTATCATAAAATAGTGCCTGACCTAAGTAATATGACATAAAATAAGTAAACAACCACAACTATTATTTATTCTGTGCCAGAACTTAAACCCCATACAATGACAAGGAATGAATGAGTTCACGTTTTATAGTTAGTATAGATGTTTCTGGAAGATGAACTGTAGGTGTAATAAAATTGTTTATTCATTACCTATTTGCAACACTGAAGAAATATTTACATTTTATTTATTAGTGCAACGTCTGAATGCCCTGTTTTATTCGGTGAATTTAGAGCGCGCTCCAAAACATTCGAGGTAACCTAGAAATAATTCGCCATCTTGTATTTTATTGTTCTGTTGACGTTGGCAGTAGTGAATGCAGTGTACATAATACGTATACGTAGCGTATAGTCGATTATTATACGTTATCTCCATTATATTATAAAATAGTATTAAAATTATAGCGATAATTATTATTGTTCATATCATAATATTAATAATAATGATGCTGAAACCATTGTCTTCTTTCTGAACAATTTCTAAAGTTATTAAATTAAAAATAAAGAAATTGCTAATCCACATTTGTTTCCTTTTATTGTCTCATGGTTTTATGATAAAATTATTAGTTTTATTTATTGTTCGCGCCAATTGCTAATTTTAAGAATTGACGCTAGAGGGCGCTCGGCGCGGTGCATTCGTACCGGTTTGATGTTCGCGCGAGGCGGGAGGGTTTTGGGTGTGGCGCGTCGGAAGTCGAAACAATGCAGTGCAGTTACTAGAACAACGTGGTCGCGTACCGTATAACCTCTAAATAGTGTCGGTTTTTGTTAGCAAGTTTATGCAACGACGAGGAGTTTTGTTGAGTCTAGAAAAAGAGATTGTCTGCGCGGACGCCGGGTCGGTTAATTGTTTTGGAAGTTAATATTGATTGCGATCAACGTCCGGTCTTGAAGCGTGTGGAATTTACTATTGCAGTTTCTTCGCTAGACCCGTGAGGTCACTTTAAGATCGCTTCTATTTTGAGTTATCATTTTAGTGCGTTTACGCGATAACGAGGCCTGTCTAAGTGTTGAGTGATTAAATTAACTTACCTTTGTTTGCAAGTAATTTACGTCAATTTGTATAGTGATTGCATTTTGAAGCGCATTTGCAATATTAATTTTGCTCGTGTGGTATTTGATATAGTTCGGAGACATTTTCCTTTGTCGGTTAAAACGCTGAACTTTGTCACTCGAGAGTAGACCGCGTGTGCTCGATTATAATTTTGTTGCTAAGTGAACATACCATTAAACTTTGATCGACCATTCATTAGTTGTGTCGTGTGGCACTTGTTTGATTACGACTAACGGGGATTTAGTTGAGTTTGAAGTCAATTAAATGTACAATAAAGTTGATAGATTGAAATAGTGTACAATAGTGTTGATAAACTGAAATAGTGAAATGAAGGCAGAAGTTTTCAATTGGTGAACTACGACTGGAGGGAGCGCACATTGTGAGAACATCAGCACCTGTGGATCTTCTGTCCGATTAAATCGGGCCGTCAGGTCACATATATAAACACTACTACACACTACTTACTTACATACACCTCACTTATCACCTGACTGGTACCTTGTGGTCAACCCTACCTCCGGGATTAGGTAAGTGGTGCCTGATTATTTGCAATTAATTAAGAATTATCCATAGGCCATTGGGCCCCGTCCTCTGTTGCCCGTCGATTGGATTACTCATGGGCCCTAGTCCAGTCAACCTTTGTCGGGGCAACTCAGGGCGTAAACATTTATTATTATGTTATTTAAAATACTTAGTTGAGTAGGTAGGTGAGTCTGTTAGTGATCGAATAGCTAACATGAACGGATTGACAGATTGAGGTCAGTGAGGTCATATTCATTTTTTTTATCGAGAATTATCATAAATATATATAACATTAGATGGTGCTGGGGTCAAGTTGTTAGCAAATTCTATATTAATAGACCAAAATGTTTGGCGGTTTAGTACCATATAAGACAATCACAAAATCTGGACAAAATAGGAGGCGATGTGGTCGAGTTATAAAAAATTATGTATGAAAAAATGTACACTTATTTGTGCTGTGAAAGTCCGGAGTGGATTATGTGATGAAACTGATCGCGCCACCTGTCGGCGAGGGTGGAGCCAGTCAGTACCTATATTCCTTGGCGTATTCGTACCGACTGGTGTTGAGATAAAAAACTGTTGAGTATCGATTACCGCATAGTGGCACACTCTTGTATTTATTATGGCTCTATATATGATACGAAGCTATCATTTTCATAGAAATTACTTTTTTATACAAACTTATCTACTTAAAGGTGGGGTAGCGATGCAAGATATTCTGTCATCTTAATTTATCCTTGGTGAACCCTTTCATCAAGAGTTTATAGTTAGGTATGTGATAAATTAATTGAAGAATTTTGCCATATTTAACTTAGCTTGATATTTTCAATATGCTTCTACCCGTATGA